TATGGTCTTCACCCCAGGGACAGATCTCAAAACTGTGGACTGTAGTTCCATCCCTTTGGGATCTATTATTATCTGAGTGACTCAGGATTTGAAGCCTAGACAGGGTAATGTGACTTACCCAAAATCTACCCAAAGAAGTAAAGCGGAGACCAGGCACATCAGGAGCATGGCCCCAGGCTTGGATCCACTGTGTCAAGCTTTCTCTGGATGTTGGTAGCCAGCACTCAGAAAAGAGAACATTCTCAGAGCAAACACGTAGGGATGGAGATAATACCCCAACACCACCATCACCCTCGTGACTAATCACTGTCATCATCACCCTCATCACCACCACCATCCCAATAATTATCACCACCCTCATCACCACCATCATTGTCATCACAATTATAACCATCGTCATCATTGTCATCACCATCATCACCACCATTGCAACTATCATCACCACCGTTATGATCACTATTGTCATCTTTATTACCACTATCATATCACCACCGCCACCATCACCACCATCATTACCACCATCACCCCATCACCACCATCACCACCACCACCACCATCACCACCACCATCACCACCACCACCATCACCACCATCATCATCACCATCGTCACGATCATGATTACCACCATCAGCATCACTACTATTGTCACTGTTATTGACCTTGTTCTCATCTTTGTTTTTAACTCTCACTTAGAAGCAGAATTACTTCCCTTCAGTAAATTACCAACTTTGTCCTGGAGCCATTGCTAGGAACAGGAGACACACAATTGAAGAGCTATGAGATTATGCTAGCATGAAATTGGGGGTTGAAATGAATACTGGTGAGAAGTGTGAGTGGACCTCACATGAATCAACTGCCTCAATCAGGAAAGACTGAGTGTTTCACTCAATGTTCATTAGCTTCCTCAACACAAGTACTTGTGAACTATTCAGTTGGAGTGTCATTTGTAAAAATTTATTTTGAAATCGTTTTAGATGGACAGGAAAATTTGATGCACATAGCAATGATATATTTACTAAAACTATGACATTAACATCTGCGTAATTCTTCTATTAGCTACTGCAAACTCGATTCTCCAGTTTTTCTACCAAAGTCCTTTTTCTATTCCAGGATGGTACATTTCTTTTAGGAACAACTATTTTGGACAGAAAAGTCTTAGAGAACAAAAATCATATCCTTGTAACTTCCTTTAATCCAATTTGAGCAATATATGCTGGTAATTTATATTAAGACAGATATTCCTGGAGAGCCTGCCAAGTACAAGCCATCCTAATCATGCTGTCAGAATATGACAAGTGATACATTTTTCTTTCCTTAGCGACTATAACCTAGTTAGAAATAGCAGGTACACAAATAGAAACAATTGTCAGTGTGTAGAATCGGAGCTCAGAGTGGAAGAGGGGCTTCAAAGAGAAGTGTGTTGAAAGAACACGTGCTGGGCTAGATCTCTCCCTCTCTTGCTGAGCATTTGGGTTGAAAGGTTCTCTCTCCCCTAGGAGTGGATCTAACTTCACTGCGCCAGATGAAGCTTCAGAGACCAATGACCATGTTAACGGATGTCAAACACTTCTTATCATCAGGAGGGAACATTAACGAGAAAAATGATGATGGAGTGACACTGGTATGATAACGCATTTGACCCAACACTTGTTTAAAAGAGAATTGAACTTGGTTCTAAAACACACGAGTTTGATATAACTGATTATTCAATAATGTGGGTTTTTTTTCTGATCATAAAAGTAATATACATTAATTGTAGAAATGTTTGAAAACACACAAATATGTAAAGAAAAAACACAAACCCTTAATGGCATCTGGAGAGAACCCATGTGTGTATATTGATGTGTTTTTTTTAAAGGCCTTCCTGGTAGGAATAGGCTTTCTTTTTCATTTTAAGCAAAAGAAACTGTGGGTTACTTTAGAATCAGGCCCTGTTGCAGTAAACAAAAGGGAGATCAATCAAATATGGATTAACTTTAATACGACCATCGTTCTAATCATCTAAATATCACTTTGCCTTATTGAGCTGTAACATTACCCAGACCTGACAAGCTAGGGTTAAAGCTAATTATGGGAGAAATAAACGTAGTCAGAGCTGGAGGAAAAACTTAAACTAGGAAAGCAGCAGGCAGGAAGAAACACCGAGGTGTGGTGACATTCCAGGTGACATAGCTGGAATCAGTGAGTGAGTTTCCCCATGGAAAACTACAGGGTAAGTAAGAAAGTGACTTACAAAACAGATAAGAGTTTTGACTTTGGAGGTTTTCATGAGGTGTTATAGAGATAGTTTTACTTTTATTAAATGCAGATTTAGTGCCGTGTGAACTCTAGGTAAAATTCTCTTTCTAAAATAGCTTTTGAAAGATAGACTTTAAACAGCATAATTGAAATTTTTTATAATTGATAACTTATAAAATTACAATCTTCTCAACTAGTCTTCTAACATCAATCTAAACATGCAAGTGTAATTCATAAGAGAAGAGAGCAAAGCACGTTCGAGTGCATTGAAAAATCGCACATTCAAATAGCAAAGCATACCGGTTAATCTCTGATGAAGTTTTATGGGTCACGTGCTGTGAACACAATAGTGAACAGAGCCACCAAGGTCCTTTTTCTGGAAGCTCAGAGATCAGTGAGGCAGACTTTCCTGTAACCCACTAGGAGGCTCCAGTGATGGCAGCAGAAGCCCAGGTGATGAGGGTGGTTAAAGTAAGAAGACACCCAGTAACGTTTCCTGGCAGATGTGTGGTGTGAGACAGAGAGGAGACTTCAACAGAACCTGAGTATTTTCAACTTAGTCTACCAGTGTGATGGAGGTGGCATCAGACCAGATAGAGAAGTGCTGGAAAGGAATATCAGATAGCTTTAGAGAAGTTATCTCAGTGCCTCTTTGTCACACTAATGGAGGTGTTGAGTTTGGGTTTGGAAATTAGAGTCTGGAATTCAGGAGATACTGATTGGAAAAAGAACTGGGGAATTTTCATATACATCAAGGCCCCAGCCTTGATACTGGTGGGAATTGCCAATTCCACCCAGAAGAGAGGAAATGGGACTGAGCGGTGGGGATGAGGAAGAAGAGGCAGCTCCAAGAAATGAGCTGAGACAGAGTGGGCACTGAGGCAGGAGGAAACCAAAAGAAGGAGAAGTCCTAGGAAGTGAGAAGGAGGAGGGGATGACGGACTTCAGATACTGGCAAGGGGACAGTAAGGGAGGTCATAGTTGGCAATTAACTCAGTAGCTTGGAGATGGTTGTTTGGACAGTTAAACTCCTAAGGTCTAAAGCAGCAGATTGAAGTGGGCTATTTAGTTAATGATTTGCATATTGCATGTAATAAATTAATTACTGACATAATAAAAACACAATAGATAAAACCTTTGTGTCTGTGACCTAGAAAATACAGCAACTTTAGATTTCAAAAAAAAAAAACACTAAGTAAAAATAGCATGCCTATTTCAATCTCAGCTAGTTCTTTAGAGAACCTATTGAAAGAATCAACAGTGACCAATAAATTGCTATCATGCTCAGCAATCTTCAATTTCAACATTCCTCATGACATGCTTTTTTATCAACATAACAGTTTGCAAATAATTTTTCTGTAATAACCAAATCTTGAGGTGAGCAACTTTAAGCTTTTCACAAGAAAGTCACAATGGACAAAAGAGGAGGAGACTGAGGAGACTGTGCTGGGAGGTCACAGCACTTAACAAGTGCCTTTCTGTGTAGTTCTTACCTCTGGACCACTTAGTCCACTACCTCAAGGACTGCAATTGCAGGCTTTTCTTTTTGTAAGGTGTACTATGCTTTGTGGCTACTTTTGGAGGCAAAGATAAGAAAACACTTGTTCACTGATCAGTTTCCATATCTTGAGTTGGAATTTTATCTGTGGATCAAAATTAGACTTAATTTCTCCCACCGTGCAATTGTTGCTTGCAGAGATCAATCAACCAACAAAGACTCCTGGGGTTGAACTTCTGTCAGGTGGCTTGTATGCTGCTTTTCTTTTCACTCCTCTTTTGGAATTTTCTTTTCACTCCTCTTTTGGAATTAGCAACATAATAACCATGTATAATAAGTCTTTAAAAAAAAAAGCTCTCTCTTTTCTATGGTGTGCTGCCCATATCCATAATCACAGAGTTTGCTTAATTTCAGTTAGGGATTAAGAAAAATGGAATGGACATTTTCCCACCCGAGTCTGAATTCTTCCAAGATCCTGTGGGTGCCTGGTGTTAGGGACTCTGGCTCCAGCTCAATCTTGAGCCCACAAGGCTGAAAGAGGTGCCAGGCTGGAAAGTGCATAGACAAGAAAGGGACAGGTTGCCCTTTCCCTCCTTCAGCTCCTGCTCATCCCTCACTCCATGACTGAGCTCCTCTGAAGAAGTGGGAAGTAGGTGGGTGAGAGGGAGGCAGTGAGAGCAAGAGAGATTTTAGTTACCCTTACTTCAGATGGTGTTAAGTCCATGGCGCAAGAATTTGCTCCTCTTCTTGTGAGGATCTGGAGGTTCTTCAGATACCATCCCACTCCATCACTGGGAAACTCAGATCCCCACCAGATCTGGGTGGATGTGGGTCTTCTACATGGTCCTTTCCCCTTACCCATCTCTCAGTAATGTGGGGTACTCCAGAGTCTGTCCTGTAGGTTGGGCTTGCTCCTTTAGGCATCCCCCTGAAACAGGACCAAGTTGAGCCTGTCTTTTCCATAGGAACCCTCCATGCCATCCTCCCCTGTGGACCATGGGTGTAGGAAGCTTTCTTCATCATGGTATGCTCTGATACCTCACACATTCCCTTTGGTTGCTCACCAAAGCAGAATCTCTCAGTTGTTACTTGTTCCAGGAAAGAACTGACACCTGCCCACTGCATGTCCACCAGTCTGCTCAGGACACACAACTTCTTGGAGCAGTTAGGTCCCCAGACTTGAGATGAGGGAGGAGCTCCTTCCACACCTATGCCACCACCACACACACCACACAGAGAACAGTGGGCTCCTGACCTACGCACACTGTTCTGCAAAAGTTGCACTGCCTTCTCTGTCATTTCTGACCTAGGATGTCCCCCGTCTGGAGGAAGAGTTCACAAATCACTCAAGCAGCTTTTGGACAGTTAGTTTTCAAGTCTCAATTTGGGATATGACACAGATTACCTCATATCTCAGCCCACACTGAGACAATGAAACTTCTCTATTAGTTTGATAATGCAAATTAAATGTGGGAAGAACTAAAATTATTGGTCAAAAATCTAGAGTGAACCTTCAACGTATTGAATGGCTATTCCTCAAGATAGATTTTCACTGATTTCTAACACAGTTTTCTTAAAAAAACATTATTCTTGTGTGACATGCCAGTCATACAAGAGTGGCTGCGGTCAGAGACCTTAAAGAAGATCACATTCCACAAGAAGATGCTTGAAATTTTTCACAGATTTGCAAATCAGATGCACCAAAATCAAGAGTAAGCAACTTAAAAACAACGCTTGTTTTCCAAGTTATAAATGCAGAAAAGACTTAAGCCTGAGTGGCAACTGCTCTTTTAATAACAAATTGGGAGAAAAAAATAAGAGGAAATATTGGTGCCACTGACTCCACCAGAAATCAAAATTAGCATTTTGCATCAAACAATGAGCAAAATGAAGAGACAGATAATAATCCACGAGTAATATTAACAACAGGGTTTTTAAGTTTTTATGTCTTTAAAATATGAGATTTCTTAGAAATTAATAAAAAAGATGACCATCTCTCAATAGAAAATTAAATACTAATAAGAGGCAGCTAGCTCACAAAAGAAAAAAACTAAAGTAGCATATAAGTATATGAAAAGAGGACCACTGTGAGGAATGAAATGAATGCAGATTTATTTGCAATTACTTTCAGAATATGTAACAGGGAAGAGTACAAGAGCTAACAATCTGTCAAGATGGGATCTCTCCCACACTGCTGGGTGGACATAAGCTTTCTGAAACTCAGTAGGATGATGTGCACCAAGAATGTGATAAAATGTCATTTTAGAGTCAGAATTCCTTGTGTAGGAATGTATCAGAGGCAAATAATCAGAGGTGCATAAAATGACAACCAATAAAAATGGGTTCTGTCGTGTAACAATGGCAAACGCATTCATGCCCAATAATTGTGAGCTGGTGGCTCAGTGATGATGTATCTGTAGACTGAGCATTATGCTGCCCTGAAAAACCAGGGCTAGAAGAGAAACACCACCCTGGGAGGGGACAGGCCACACTGACCTCAGTGTGCACCCTGGGCTCCATCGCTCCCAGGCTGGAATCATGCTGGATTTTTAAAGCTTTCTGCGTTTTTTTTTAAAATACTTTTTAAAATGTGAGTAATATTAGTGCCATGTTAGGAGAAAAGCAGAGCGAGGGGACCATGCACGCAAATACAGTGCACTCTGGATCAGCATCAGCCTTTATGTTATCAAACATGGACTCACATGGGAAATCTTCCGTAGAGCTCAGTAATGTACATTTTAAATTAGTAAGTACACACAATCCTCACTTGACAAAGTGATCAGATTAGATAAATAGACAGCAATCACCAGAATGAGAAAGCAATTTTTAGGAGATCGTTAGTAATTCTAGTCTTTTCATATTTTATACCCTTTCGTGGTTTTTATTTATTTGTTTTGAGATTACCTGGAAGTAAATCCACCAGTCTTCGTAGATATCAATGGCAGCCAGGGCTCTGACTGGCTTCTCTCACAAAGAACTAGGACTGTTTCCTTTTGGTTGTAAATGGCCAGCCGCAGTTGGGCAAGGTTCTGAATGGTGGGACCATATTTATGCTCCATGGAAGGCCCAGCTTTCCTGCAGGGTGCCCTTTGAACCCCACGTCACTACAGTGGGTTACTCACTCACTGATAGACCCATTCTTGAGTCAGTTTTACAGACTGTTTTATACTAAAAATGAAAATCTTCCAAATTCAGATGTTATTGCATGTAGTTCAGAGCATCCTGCCAATCACTTACTGACGATCTGAATAATATAGGATAAATTTGGAAGAGGGGGAAATTTTAGTTCTCTAGAAAAGCAAGTATATAAAATTATATTTTCTAAAATACCTATGGTGTAGCATTCTTGGGACTGTTTGCTAGAATCCTGAAGAGATGAATTCTGTATGGAACAAACTATGGAAGGTCAATGTGAAACTTGGTGGTTTTAATGTTTGTGCCTTAAATTAAATGAATTATTTGTTGTTATAATGAAGTTGAAAGTATACAAAATAAAGAATTATATACTATAGATCTGATAAGTATAAATAAATATAAAGTTATGAAAACAAATGTTTCCTCTCTCTCTCTCTCTTATATACGTATATAATATATGTATTTTTTTTTACTTCACTATAGTTTTATCTTTATGCATAAGTAAAGAGAACAAAGATTTCCTTGCTACCAAATCTGGAAAATATCATCAATTTTACTAATTCTAACTTAGTTTTCCTTCTTTATGCTTTATTATGTTTATGAAATAAATCAGGAACTTACTTAGTAAACTCATTTAACTTGGGTGCAACAATAGTTTACTTAGAAATAAAGGCTGATGCCTTATAAATGGAATTCCCCTATTTGAAAAATAGAAAAAAATCTCCAAATCCTGATCTCATTGTTACAAATAATAGGCTTCATTTCTAAACTTCAGATTCCATTAAGAAGATGCACTGGAAGGTATTAAATTGAAGTTACAGAGTCTTTATAAACCCTGCCAGCATTGATTGGTCCTTTCCAGGTTCTGGTGTTTTTTCCTGGCCTCATGGGTTTCACGGTGATCCCATCTCTTATTTCCGTGGTTGCCTTTGACCCTCTTCTCCAGCACCAAGGGCAGTCCAGGGATGGTAGATCTAGCCATTATATCTTTGGCCTGTGGACAAGAAGTTGTGAACTACTGAATTATTGAGATCTTCATTTTAAAATAATCAGATCACAGTGTAAAGAGAAGGTATGAGAATGAGAAGGAAAATAAGAAACAATGAACACTTCTCAACAAATCAGAATATTTCTTCCAAAGAATGGTGACTCTGACACCTACTTATACCAAATAAGTAAAGCTGGGTCTATGTTCTTTTGTCTTATACCCTGTATTTCAGATCCAGTATTTTATTAGATGGCTCTCTTTCAACCACTGAATATACCAAATGGAAGTCACTATTTCTTTAAATATTAGATTTCAAAGTATCTCTTTGTTGCAGCTGCACATGGCATGTGCAAGTGGGTACAAGGAGGTGGTCCTGCTCATCCTGGAACATGGCGGGGACCTCAACGTAAGGGATGATCAGTACTGGACACCACTCCACTTGGCAGCCAAGTATGGCCAGGTAAGGGGGCTTTCCAAATTATTTCTAAAAGTTGTTTACAATTAATAAATAATTTCCTCTTTAAATTTCATCTTATTCCAAATTATATACTAATCATTGTGTACTATGAGTTTTAATGGCATCTTCTTACTATACAAATATTCTAATAGTTTTAGAAAGACGTTTACTTTTACAAGGCCATGAAAATGAACCTTTCTCATATCTCTGCACATTGCAGTCAAAATCCCTGGAGAAACTGCCAAAACCTATCAACATTCTTCATAGAATAGTGAATGTTACTTTCTTAATATAGCTCTCCTAAGCTAATTTCAGAAGTGTTTCACAATTCTGTTTGTTTTCTACAGCTAGTAAATGTAAAACAAAATCACATTTTATATTCCCTTTTTCTCTATAAGTTACTTTTCATTTTAATGAACAAAGGATGATTTATTAGTTCCTTTTGCATGAATGTTCCAAATGCCCAAGAGAGATACCATAAAAGAGGTGGGGTTTCTAAGAGTGCAGTCCATAACTGTTCACCTCCATGCACTTGGACCAAACATGACTGTCAAAGTGTATGGAGATTTTTCACATCATGGCAGACAGGAAGCAGAGAAAGAGACAGGAAGGGACCAAGCACCCCCCACCGCCTGTGACCTACTTCCTCACACTAGGACCCCACCCCCTAAAGATTGCAAACCTCCTATAATTGTGCCACCAGCTGGGGACCAAGCACACAACACATGAGTCTGTGGGGTCATAGTGAAACAGTAACAAATGGGTAGCAAATCTCCCTCTCACTTGATTCTTTGCTATACCTAATATATACTGAGTTACTATTTCCAAAGTAATTTCTCACCGTGTTCCATTATATCCTGAAGAAGCAGTAAAATCTGACTTTCAAGTGATTTCCATGGGTGACTGTGACAGAAGGATTCATAGCAATTCACTAATAGCAAAAATCTACTTCTAAAGGATGAATAATATTTTGTTAAAGAAAGTCCTAGTAACAACCGTGCAAAAAATAACAGTTTCCTGAAGGAATACATGCTTCCATTAACCCAACTTCTCACTTTTTTTCTGATAGGATGTTTGGATTTTAGGCTGAGGGTAAGATTTCAACCATTTTCATAAGATGAGGGATACTGAGAGGCTAGGGCTAGAGCCCATAAATCTTTTTAAAGATAGAGCTTGAACTAACTTTATCACTATTTTGTTATAATAGTTCAGTGATTTTAACAGAACCTTGTATGTGAGATTTGTTTTCCTCGATTGCAGGTCAAATGGAATATTCGGTATGAGGTGGTAGATTTTATTTTCATTGTTCTTTCTTTCTTATAATTTCTCGATTCTTTCTTACAATTTCTATTTCTTTAATGAGAGGTCCTGGTTTTTTATTTGTTTCAAGAGACTTCGTAGTCTCTTAGGCTTGCTTCTTAAATCCATCTTGCTCATGGCGTTAGTTAATCATCTCATTCAGGCTGGGAGTTCCCCATGTCGATATTGGAGGGGATTTTGATTCCATCTTGGACGTTTTTGTATCACACCAAGAGAGTTTGATCCTGTGATAAAATGAATTGCACCATGTGCAGGTCCTGGTCTCCTCCTTTAAGCTTCAAGTCCCATGGCAGAATTATTTTCAGATCACTTGGGATATTTTGGTGTGTTTGTCTTATCTGGTGCCCCTGGAGCTGCCACTGACTGGTGGCGAGGGGGCTTTCCTGGGCTGGACTTCTTTTCATCTTTGGTGAAGTACGGGAATCTCTACAGGGACAGAGATTTCCAGGGCTTGGACCTGTTAGGGTTTGATCCCATTTGTGGTACCTCCTGCCCCAAACCATCCCTGCCTCTCTTGTTGTTAGCAGGATCATGGTGCTGACTTACCTGATATTGTTACAGGCATAAAGTTTGAACCAGGAGAGGAGTGAATCTACCTGGTCCCCTTGTGTCATTAGTTTGGGGATGGGGAACACTGGGACTGTGCTTTCCTCTTCTGGGTGAGAAGTTGTAAGTTATCCTTCCCATCCAGGGCTTCTGAGCCAGGTTACTTTTCTCTTGCTACCGTACATATTTCTTCTCCTTTTCTTGTATCTTGGCAGTTTTAATGAGGTATAGTTGACATATTACAAATATAATTATGGTGTATGTTGATACTTGATTTGTGAAATGGTCACCAAAGTCAAGCAAATTAACATATCCATCACCTAACATTTCTTTTTCATTGTTTTGTTGTGATGATAATTTATTACTTATGTTCATAGCAGATTTCAAGTACACAATATGGTACCATCAGCTGTATTCGCTATGCTCTATTGCCAGGGGATCTCCCAGGACTGCTCCCAACCCTGTCAGCTTCTCTTCCCAGTTTGGGACTCACTTACACCACTGTCTTTATTGAACTGTCCTCAGACTCAACTTGTATAAAAAGAAGTGTCATCTCCTCTCCCCTGCCCTAGTCTGTGGTACCTTCTATGTTTTATCATTTATTTATGCAAAGCTAGTCATCATCCATCTTCTTAGTGCTCCTTCTCCTTCTTCTACACCTGAGCCTACTAACTCCTCCCTAAGGGATTGCTTTGAGCTACTGAGCTGTAGACACTGTCTGTCAGTCTGCACATCTGCCTTGCTCTACCCTCTTCCACAGCAGCAGCATCTCTGCACCTGGATTGCCTCAGCCCCCAACCGGCTGCTCTATGCTTCCCACTCCATTTAGAAGAGTGCAGTCAAGGTATTCTTTCAACATGGGGTCATAATCAATCTATTTCAACATAACATCCTTCCCAGGACGGTTGAAATTAAAGACCCAGTCCACAGCACATTTTCTAAACTTGTATCCAGTAACTTGTGCACATTGAAAATTAGCCACTCAGTGTTTCCTTTTCTATGTTCATGTGTGCATGCTCACACACACACATACACATTTACACATGCACACACACACTCACACTCTCTGAATAGCAGTCTCCCCAAACATGGGAGCTGGGCTCTCTCTCAAGTTCCTTAGAAGCAGAGACAAAGCCATTGGGCTGCACACTCTATCCATGGGCCATTGTCAAGATTAAAACAGATGTTCAGAGAAGAGGAGTGGACATCAGTCCGGATTGCATTCTCAGTTGCAGCCATGCCTCACTGACTTCTAACCATCAGAAGGGAATTCCCCAAGTTCTGCTCATAAATGCTTACTTTTATGGGTCTGAAATAAAATGGAATTACTTTTATTGTTGGAGATTTTCATGTAGAAAGCATTTTGCTTTTATTACGTGAATAATTTTGGAAGGTGGAGTTGAAGCTGAGGAGAGCAGTAGGTTGTTGGGAGATTTCACAAGTCTGTTTCTGAGAACTTCTAGAAAGAGGAAACTGAGTTTGGAAGTGCAAAACAATTTTCAGACTCTGACACACTTACATTTTTGCAAAGATAGGTTTCTGTTGTTCATTCCAACTTGTGAAAAACAAAATCAATCCTACCTCATTCTCAGTTTTCCTTTTTATTTTATTTCTGCATTTCTTTCCCCTTCTCTTCCTTTTTCTTCATCTCATTCTCATCCTCTTGTCTTTTTCTCCCTATGTCCCTCTGTCCCTCAATCCCTCCCTCCCTTCCTTCTTTCTTCCCTTTCCTATGGTTTAAAAATGAGTAAATCCATCAGATTTATTTTTGGCAGAGCTGAGGGTTTAACTCAGGAAATTGTGCTTACTGGGCAGCCTCTTTACCACTCCCGCCTCTCCTCCAGCCCTTTTTGCATTGGTTATTTTGGAGATGGAGTCTCCTATTTGTGTTTCCCTGCATAGCTGGGATGGCAGGTGCATAACACCATGCTTACCTGCTGGTTGAGATGAGGGCTCATAAACTTTTTGCCTGAGCTGGCCTCAAACCATGGTCCTCCTGATCTCTGCTTCCTGAGAGGCTAGGATTACAGGCATGAGGCACTGTGCCTAGCTTAAATTTCTCAGCTCTTTAATGTAAAAAATCTCTTTTTAAAACATTTTAACTTAACTTAGAACATGCTGTATAGATGTTAGTCTTTCAGATTTCAAGAGAACTTCTTTTTATTTAATAAACTACTTTTTTGAATATCAAAAAAACCAATCTAAATATAAGCAATCTGCTGTAAGAAGATTTAAGTCTTACAGATGTAAACTCTGTTCTGCAAAAACAAACACGAATTTGAGTGGTTTGTGGAAAACGAAGTAATAGGGTATACCATTAAAACCCAAATAAGACTTACAGTGATATTACTGTAGTGAGAGCAATAATTGGTATTGGGGGATCCCTGAACAGGAAGCTTACAATGAGCAGACAATGCCACAGAAATATTAGAAAAGAAAAATAATTTGAAGAAGCCAGTTCTACTCAAACTAATATAATAGAGAAAGAAATGAAAATTAAAGACAAAGTTAGGGAATGAGAAAAATAATCTCGAAATGATTTTTAGAAATTAGAACTGTTGTTGAGTTTATCGAGGTTGTTCATAGTACCTTTATAATACATATAATATTATATATATATATATATATATATATATATATATATCAAGATTTCTACACAACCACCCACTACCCAACATCTCAGTGATCACTGAAGAACTACATAAATGGAGACTCTCAGAGCTCAAGACTCTAATTATCCTTCAGCTTTCTGGGAAGGCAGAACAGTGGTCCTCAGAGATGTCTGAACCCCAGTCCCTGGAACTTCCCAGTGGGTTATCCTGCAAGGATAAAGAACTTCAAGACTGTGTTTAAGTTGAAGAGCTCAAGAATATTTCCTGGATTAATATAGATCACCTAACGTAATTATATGAATCCTTAACACAGAGAACCATTCCTGGCTGACTAGGGGTTGTGGGGGAGGAGGTGTATGGAAAAATGGCAGAGATAGTTTGAATGTGGAGGGAAGAGACCATTGCCAAGGAGTGTGGGCTATTATGAGCCAGAAAAACCAGCAACCTTCACCCCTAAAACCAGAAGTGACCTGGGACTACCAACACCAAGATCCTAGCCCTATAAGATTTGTATCAGATGTCTGACCTACAGATTTGTACCATAACACATTTTTATTGTTTAAACCACCAACTTAATTTAAGGCAGCTATAAAAAAATCTAATACAGCTTCTATTTAAAGCAAGCCTAACAAAATCCCACTTGCCTCTCTGATAGAAGTTGAAAAGTCTATATTCTAACCTAAATGAAAATGCAAAGTGCTTCTAGTAGACAAATTATCTTGAAAAAGAACAAGAAAATGAGAGGTGTTTTTCATGACTTACTTAAGTCTCTCACTGAAAAGATTTCAAGACATTCTAGAAAGTTACAATGGGCAAAGGTGTTAGGTGATACAGAAATGCTAGACCAATAAATCAATGGAACATAAAAGCACTCATCACTGTCCAGAGCATATCTAGTTCATTGATTTCCTACAAAGGGCCAAAGCGATTCAATAAGAAAAAATAGTCTTTTAAATAAATGTTGCTGAAAACCCGATAGATCAACCAAGGCTTCATGATTCTCTTTATAAAAACTCTCCTGAGATGAACCACACATATATACTTCAAAATAGTAAAACTTTTAGAAGACAAGCCATACCATATTGTCATGGTCCTTGAGTGGATAGAGTTATTTGGACATTAAAGAACTAACTAGGAGAGAAAAATACATAGATGTTGTACTTAAATAAAAGTAAAACCAATTTTTATTTGTTCATAAGATATTTTTAAGAAGATGAATAGGCAAGACAGAACGAGAGGAAATATATGTAAGACAGTTCTAGTTCTCTGAAAATGTATCCAGAACATGAACTTAAAAGTTCAGCAAAAAATGGAAAATGTATCCAGAACATGAACTTAAAAGTTCAGCAAAAAATGGAAAAATCTTGAACAGATACATCACAAAAGAAAACTAGCCAGCAAGCACACAGAAGGTGCTCAGTGTGATCCATCATCCAGGGAATGGAACCTCAGCTGCGCTGAAATGCTAGCTCACAGCCGGTGTGGTGCTAGAATCGTTAAGCAATAGTGGTGTCAAGTTCTGGAAAGGACTTCCGTCCTGCACACGTGCTGGTGAGGATGAAAAATGCTCAGGTCACTTGTAACACTGACTGACACTCTCTTACAGGCTAGACAGGCATTGACCGGCTCTCCCAGGACTGCACTCCTGGCATTTCCAACATGAAGGGAAAATGTAGACTGTTCAAAATGACATCTGCCATAACAGCTTTATTCTAAGAACCCAGACTGAAACAGTTCAATATTCAATTAAGGAGCGAATGGATGAGCACACTGTAGCGTACTCATACGAGGAGCTACAAATTGCCCATGAAAAGCAAGAAAGTACTGAAACACCCCAAAATGAGTGGAATGAGCAAGTATCAGGTCAAACAAATCTATGGTTCAGTCTACATATCCTCCTACCTACCTGTCTGTCTTTCTATATTCTAGTTATCTGAAGTTTAAGAACAGGCCCTGTAGTCAGGGTTGGTACAAATCACACCCTGGCTTCTCGTGTGGTTGGGGGACTGGCAGTAAAGGGATGAGAGGGACCCCCCGTTGATGGTGGTGCAAATGTACGTTTTAATTGCATGCTGGTTAAGCACTTACTCAGTTGTTACCACTGTGCACTTATTGCGTGAGCATTTTATTATGTTAATATTGCTTTAATTGTTGAAAGGAGTATCAGAAGAGAAATGAAGCTAAGATGTTTCCAGTTTCCAGCCCAACAATTGAGTTGAGGTCTCTTAAATTGGTGGTTTCACTTCCATTACTTTGGCTCCCTTTGCTTACAAAAAATTCACCTGTATCAACATTTGCCAAATAAGGATAAGCTATTTGTATTACAGAAGTGCATGTTATTTTAGAACCTACAGTACTCTATTGATCAGAAAAGGAATCATGTTGATTTAAAGATATTCTGAGTAGAATGGTAAATAAAACAATACTTTACCTAAGTCTCTATGTGATACCCCAAAACTTGTATTTGAATGGAAATTTTCACCCATTAACATCATAAAACAAATAATAAATGGTCACATTATAAGAGCTTGAAAATTAATGAGATAAATGGTCAATTTTTGAAGATTATAAGAGATTATTAATAAGTACAAACAGGAACTGTAGAAATAAAGATTGTAAGAGAGTAGAGCAAAAAGTTCTGAGCTATAATGCAACAAGAGAATAGAAGTGGGGTGAGTCAACTGGAAATTGATTCTTAGCAAACCAAGTTGTGAGAATATTTGTCCCGAGCTGGAGGGACACAGGGAAGAGAATGCAAAGGTGACTGATGCTGTGTTTGCAAAAGCAAACAACTGCATAAATTGCAGAGCCACTGAAGACACAGCGAGAATCAAAAGCACAGTCAGGGGATGCAGCTGCCTCAGTCACTCGTGCTGCTATAACAAAATGCCTGATATTGGGTAATTCGTAAAGAACAAGAGGGCTTTTCTCATGGCTGTGGAGGCTAAGAAGACTAAGTTCAAAGTACTGGCAGGATCACAGTCTGGTGAGGGTGTGGTCTCTGCTGTTACAGGGATTTTACAAAAATAAGGTGTAACTAGTTCCTCCAGCTGTTTTATAAAGTTGTTAGCACCATTTATGAGGGCAGCACTCTCCTCTCCTCTCGTAGCCCAGCATGCCAAGTCACCCCCTAGTGGCCCCACCTCTTAAGTCTGGTTTTGAAGAGTGAGTTGCAACATGTACTTTGGAGAGGGCACAAACATTGAAATCCTAGTGGTTTCAACCTTGCAATAGCAAAACAAAGAAAATCTGAAAACTTAAAACAAGATGGCAAATTGTAGAAAAATCATAATTTAAGAAAGTGACTCAACTCACAAAAGAAAGCCAGAAGAGTCTTCCATTTTCACAGCAATCCCTCTTTAAGCTTCAGTGACCTGTTGTTTTACATCAGAAGTCTGCAACATGTGAATGTCAGACAGTTATGTTGTGACAATGTGGAACCACAGGGACATCACTGAGAGAGACTGAATCATCAGTCACTGTGCTGATGTGTCAACTGGAATCCCAAATATTCATATGTGCATTAATCCTGTGTGTGCACCAGGAGGCAGAAACAAGATCTAGGAGAACCTTATTTGCAAAACTGAATAAATGAAGGCCATTGTAAATTGTTTGACCATTGTAAGAAAGGTGCTTGCATCATGATCTGTTTGTGCCAAGAGGTTCTAAGTAGCCGAGAAACCAGGTGAAATTTAGTTAAACACCTCAGCTAATTCTCAAAACTGCATTGGACAAACACAGCCAATTTCATTTCTGCTTGTTCCATTTCAGCCACAACCAGATGGAGCAATCTGGTGCTTAGGACAGCTTCTTATCAACCACTGTAAAGAAAGGTATTAGGAATGAGCCCCAAGTTTCTGACAGTGATCAGCTCTGGGGAGCAGAGGGGAGCTTGGGGGAGAAATGTACAACGATATTATTAATGACATTTTGTTAAAAGTTGGGTCCGCTGACTTTTCCTTAATTTCAGCTCTGTCAGTGTTGTGTCTACATCACAGACACTTTGTGTGTATGATGTTTTGAGATATGTAAGTATGTATCTCTTATCACGTTTTCATTCTTGGAACATGAGATTGAGTTTTTCTATTGGAGGTGACTTTAGGTTTGTAATACCATGCTCAGTGTTGTCATAGTATCAAACTACACTGTGCTGAAGTAAGGTAATTGCTAAAGTAAAACAAAAACAAAAGAAAATATCACATAACATATAATTTGTCACATAAAATGGCCCAAAAGAAAACTTAAAAAGTGTAAAACATGCTCTTCAAATACTGAGCTGTTAAACCTTCTTTTGGTAAAGAAATGCAGTTCTGACTGCATGGGTTTCTGAGCTAGTTTGAATATCTGACATTTTCTAAAGAGAAACTATTTCACTTTTCTTGCTGTTGCAGACAAACCTGGTGAAACTTCTTTTGGCACATCAGGCAAACCCCAGCCTCATGAACTGTAATGAAGAGAAGCCGTCAGGTAGGTTGAGGCCAGGCTGGGACCACCAGGCGACTACCATCTTCCTTCCACAGTGAAACTGTTTACCCATCATTAGCACAGCTGTGGGATGAGAGGTGGGCTCCCCAGCAGCTGTGTAGAAAGCACTGCAGCTCCAGCACGGTCCAGAAACCCCCCATGCACTCGAGGATGCACAGAGCAGGTAACACGGGAGACCACTGAGGATCTTCCTTGCATTTCACTTTCAGGCATTCCTTCAACACACTCACCACAATATATATTTTTACTGTTATTTATCTTGGCTTTCCTCATACCAAATATGTGTTATCTGTTAGGGTATTTTAAAACAATAATAGCATTTTTCTGTACAGATATTTAGACTGCAAAAGATAGAGACTACCAGTACCGTGCTAATTTAAAACTTGAAATCTTGTCCTAAGGCTCTTTGTTTTTAGCAAATGTCTTTGGAAGATTTCTATGAATCTTTTTATCCCTACGCTTTTCTCTGTTTGTGTGCTTACTGCCACATTTGTTTGTAAATTTTAAAATTAAATAACAAAGTTACCAGTCATCATTAAGTTTACAATTCTAGAAGTAGAATTTTAAATGACAAAGAAAGAAGTCTAGCTTTAATAACACGCTAGTATGAGTAAGTTTAGGGTAGCAACTGATCTTAGCAACTAAATAAATCTTTCTTTTTCTTGCTGTTGGACTTCCACCAACCTCAGAACCCTTTACTCCTGAGATTCTCATTTTATTACTTCTCGGAGTAGATTATCAGATCTGGTTTAAGCCAGGCTGAGGGCTGTGTTCTCTTTCTTGCTTCCTGGAATTAGGTATCATTGTTTATTTTTCATGACTTTTTCTTCTCTGCCAAAATAAACTGACGAACTAGCCAACAGAACCACGCATAGCTTGTCACGAACTTTTGAAACAGGCTATTATTAATAACTAGTCTAGCAATGTTGATTTCAATTAGAAACATAAACCTAACAGTAAATCTCAAAAAGGCAAAAGAAAAGGATTGTAGATATTTTCCTGTCTTAAAAAAAAAAAAACCTCCATGTATTGGCAGTATGCCATGTCCCCTGATCACTGGTTCTATAGGGAGATCAAATGGTCAAGTTCCCACTTCTGGCTTCTTTTCTGGGCAGAGGAAGATGTGACTGACTAACCCTTGACCCCATGGACTCCCATCCCTCAAGCTTTCACCCTTTACTCCTAATGTCAGAAGTTCCACATCTAATTCCTGTGGCAGTTGAACTTCCCAGAGCCCCAGTGAGCAAATACACTTCTGATCTTGCCTCAGCCTTGGACTCCTCTGCACAGAGCACAAGGTCTCTCAGACAGCTTTACTCCATGTTGGTCCTGCAATGCTACCTTGGGTTTCCTGCCCTTTGTATGGCGTCTTGGCAAGGAGACACAGTTCTGGGCCCATTGGAGACCCTCAATAAAAATTTGTAAATTAAGTGAAGACACCTCTCTCACAAACAAGCAGCAAAGAACTTAATGCAGTGAGGGAATTCAGCCAAATGCAGTACACACCAGCATGTGCCCAGTCAGCAAGAAGACTGAACCAAGCAAAAAAAGTGCAGAGATGGAGACCAGGAAACCAGGCACCCCTGTGATGAGAGCAAGTTGGCACACCAGCATTGTCTTGTCCTCATTCTGTGTCTTGAATTTTGATGGGCCCATAAGAAATATCTGAGAGAAACGTAGCTTGAATCTTGCTTTCAGGTGGGTCATAAAGGTAGTCTCCCAAGGTGAGAAGGCTGAGTTTCTTCTCTGTTCCCAGTGTCCTATTTAATTTGAGGGCAATCATGAGAGAATCCAGGCATAATCATCTTCTTGTAGCAGCTAAATGACTTTGACCAGCCCATGAAGCCACATAGCTCAAAGTGACTGATGTGGACAGTCGTGTGATTTAGTTATGAGGATTGGGAAGAAAGGGCTGCCTCCAATGGGTTCTTAGTTGGTGTGAGTGTAAACTTTCCTCCAGGATCTGTCAAGTTTCAGTGTCAATGGTTACAGAGAATAAGAGTGATACAGTGTTTCTATATTGCTACCCAAATGTGTTCAGATCTCATTGTTGAGGTATCATTTGTAAGGAAATGTATTGATTTATATTTCCAATGGAACAAAGAAGACCACAGACAGAGTCCTGCACCACTGTTTTGACAACACCACTGAACATCTCTTTGTACACCTGCCCAACCAGTAGAATGTGTGCAGAGTGCGCACCAAACACTAGGTATTTGGCCTTAACCCAGTTATAGGAATGGCTGTTTTCATTTTCATTCATATCCACCAGACACAGCAAGAGTTTTGATGAGAATGAACTGACAGTGAGGTCTTTCAAGCCTACCCTGGCCATGATTCTCCCATTGTACACTTGACCGTCCAGTGAATTTTATCTTTATTGCTTTTCATTTGTGATTAAATATGTCACTGATGTGTTAGTCATTGAAAAGACCAATGCTGCAATTTTATCCCTCTTATGAACTTTTTCTGGTTTTTGCTTTGCTTTGAGCATTGATGTGTGTTAGCAGTTTAATTGTGTCAGAGTTATTGAGAGTAAGTGGTGTTCTGTGTTGTCCCTGCTCTCCTTATCTGATTTCCCTGTCCTTGTAGATGTCGCAGCATCTGAGCTGATCGAGGAGATGCTGCTGAAAGCTGAGATTGCCTGGGAAGGAAAAATGAGAGAGCCTCTGCCTGTCTCCACCTTAGCACAAGAGGAGGCCTACGAGGAGATCATGCAGGACCTCCCAGCTCTGTCAAGTAAGCTGTAAGTGTCTTCATCTGGGTATGGCAGAGCAGCAGGGCCTGCTCATTGACAAGCCAGTAAGGCTCACTCACCATCACCGCACTGCAGGAATAACTGTTCTCAGCTAACAGCACCTATTATCATTGAAGATGCTTATCTGCATATCTGTGAAAAAGGAGTTGCTGACAACAAAGAGCTTTGCATAAGTTGGAAAATCTTCTGGCTTCTGAGGGAGGCACTGGGGGTTGAACTCAGGGCCTTGTGCTTGCTAGGCAGGCACTGTACCCCTTGAGCCACACCTCCAGCCCTTTTTCGCTTTGGTTATTTTTGAGATAGGGTCTCGCTTTATGCCCAGGCCAGACTCGATGGCAACCCTCCTATCAATGCTTCCTGCCTAGCTGGGATGACAGGTGTGCTTACTGTGTCCAGCCACTGGTTGAGATAGACTTTTTTTTTTGCCCAAGCTGGCCTCAAACTGTGATCCTCCGAATCTCTGCCTCTTGGGTAGTTAGTATTACAGCCTTGAGCCACTGTGCCTGCCTCCGCCCACTTTTTAAAACATTACTGTGCTAGTTATTGGTTCAATTTCAGGTGCCATCAGATTGAAGAGAGTGTTTTAAACATTTCCCTACATTTTCAGGGTCTATCCTAATGGCTTATTGTCTGAAAGTAAGAAGTGCAGATTTATTATTTCCCTGCACTAAAGTAGGAAATGCAAATAAACCTTATTCCTCCTTAGAAACAGAAGTAATAATTTCTTTTTTTCCAAAATATCTCCTGAAAAACGATGCTTCCTGTTGCTTAAAGATGTGAAAGGTTGAGATGGAAATTGTAATCTTGGCCTGAACAAGCGATCCAAAGCGAGGGATAAGACTGATCACTCCAACTCACCTTCTAAGGTGTGTTCATTTACCCCAACACGCCATCAGAGTTTTTCTTCCCCACCGCCTTCAGCAGTCGGGCCTCAAGTTTCCGTTGTTACTCCGAACCTGCTTCTTGTCTGTTGATAATCATAATAATGATTATCTAGTGTTCAGGTATTTGATTTCAGGACAACAAATAAACACACCAACAACCTGAGAAATGATGGAACAATAGACAGGGAGCACGACCCCTCTGATGACCAAGAGGTCACATACACAGCAGGATGTGTGGCCACAAGTATATGCACATGTCATTCCTGCCACTCAATGCTGTGACAACATCCCGGCTCTGGTGTGGACCCAGAGCCTGCTGCACAGGGAGGAAGACGAGCACAGGTGCTTGCTCTCTGCAGGGGGCTCTTCCAAGACAGTGGAGGAACAGCAGACACACTCTTCCATTGAGACCTCCTTCAACTCCTCAGGCGTGACTCAGTTTCCTTACCCAGAAAGTAGAAGAGATGCTTTTGAGGAAAGCATGAGAGAGCGGAGAGTGAGAAGTCTTCCTTCAGAGCTTGTCACAAGCATTCAGATGCTCATTTAACTTAATTTAAAATCATTCTAGATAATTCACAGGCTAAAAGAGGGCAGGTGTATAACACACTCTAGTTGATACCAAAGTGTCTTCATTCTTTGATTTAATATTTCAATTGTCCTATAAAGGAATTTGACTTGGTGGCAAGTCAAGAAGTGGTTAATTAAGGTACAGTCCAAGTATTTTGAAATTAATAATTAAAATATTTAACTTCAATATATACATCACTCTATTACTAATATTACAGAAAAGTGAGCAATAATTCAAGTGTTTGTTGTGGAATTTTACCTTCCAAATATGGGTATGAAAATCAATATCCAACATGGTCCACTCTGCCTTTAAATTGTGTGACACACTTCCAAGCAAGAGATATTAAAATATAAAGAAAATTAAGGTTTTAGTTAAAACCAAATTATTTTAGTATAAGAAATTTTGGGTAAATATTATCCTTTATCTTGGTCTGTAGCTCTGTCTTTGATTTCTACTTTATTAAGGAAATGAAAACAAACCAAAACAACTAATCTCGCCAGTGATATTTACTTTCTTAAAATATTATTGATTGAACAACAGATTAATCAGGTTATAAACAGATCAATCAATGACTCATTTGTTCTATGTGATTAAGTATGTTTTTTAATTACATTTTTATTTCTGTTACCGTCACTCTATAAGAAAATGGCAAGTCACCTGGCGGACTTAAAGATCACATCTAAGCACTTCTGAAATTTTTCTTTCACAATTCTCAGTTGTGCTACATGTTATCTGGTTCTTTGCACTGTGATTACAGTATTATAAAAAAAATGTAACCAGCAGGAAATACAAGATGAAAAACCACTAGGACTAGTTTAGAAAGGCTGAATTTCTGCATTGTGCACTCTCAGGCCTTGTTTTTGTGTGAGAAGGAGCAATGTAAGTGCTTGAGGACTCTTCCATGAGCAACGCATGCATTGTAAGAGACAAAGCTTTCTCTGAAGCTGAAAAGTAGGTGTATTGTTGACAAAAATTGGTGCTTGTTGATTTAGTGTATTTAATATGACAATGGTGTTTGATTTGGACAAACTTTTTAAACATATTGGGAAATTTTCTATATGAAATAAGCCGATCAAATTAACATAATTACAGGAAATAGAGATGTGTTTCCTTGAGAAATATCTTCCACATCAATCAAAAAGCAGCACCTCTTCCAACTCTAGTTATTCACCGTTAATGGCTCAGCCTGCACTTGGGAAGGGGGCAGGGCTCCTGTCTCTTTCCTATCTTCAGCATCATGTCAATCTTCTAGAAACTTCATTTCCAGCTGTCCAGCTGCTCCCTGTGTAGAAGTGGGTGAAGGCTACTGCTCTGTGACAATCCAAATTTCACTGGTATAAACCAAATACATTCTTGAATGTTTTGATTACCTGCATTTTACACGGGCAGACTCCTCTTCCAGCTGCTTGTACGAATTCTTCAGCTTTAGGAAGGGGCCAGAAAAATGTAAAGAAAATCAAAGAAGAGGAAAAGCATGTGGAGATTAAAATGAGTGTAGTCCTGTGCTCCAGAAGGCAGTCATTCTGCAGCAACAAATTTCTCCTTTAATGTTACTATTTTCCCAAGGACTAGTGCAAATTCATTGAGATGAGAAGCATAAAATTAAAAATAATATACTATTCCATATGACCTCCTCTACAGGAGTTTTTTGACTCCTATTTTTGAGTTCTTAGAAAATGTTTGCAGGCACTTTACTAGGTCTGTTCCTTTTAGAAGTTCAAAATCTTGCTCTTATAAGTACGTTCTGTGAGCCTGCTGCTTCAAGCAATGCAGAACCTCTGGTCTCACCAACCAAGTCAGGATCTGTAGCTTGATCCTGTGCACATCACGTGGGAGGCACATTGTCACTGTGTTAAACTAAACAAGCTGTTACCTCCAGCCCTCATTCTGATGCCCTGGGCACATACTGCATTACCTGTGGCCCATATTCCTCCATCAACTGGAACGCCAACTCTTGTTGTTTTGATATGTTTCTTTTATATCTTCCCAGAACATATATATATGTATATATATACGTATATACATATATATACGTATATATATACATATATATACATATATACATATATATACATATATGTATATACATATATATACATATATACGCATATATATACATATACGTATATATGTATATGTATATATATATGTATATATACGTATATATACATATATATGTTTGCTCAACTTTTAAGAAATAGTAGAATGGTTGACCCAATTATCTCTGAGAGCAAGACGAATTTCCTTCCCGCGGTAACTCATAGTCATCATCCAGCTCATGACTTCGCAAGGTGTGCGGGAGGGGCCAGGATGGGGAGGAAGCAGAGCTGAGCACAACTGAGGGCCACAAGGGAGAAGGGGCTGTGGGACTGGACCCAACGGTGGGTCCTTTGGCCTAGTGGCTGGTGATTGTGAGTGGGACAGCCTGAGCTGTGCAATGCACTGTTCTTGACCTTAGGCAAAATTTACAGCTCCCACTAGTCAGAGACCTGAGTGTGCATGGTCTCAAAGTCCGGCAGGTCACAAAGCATCCCACCTTGCATTCTTTCCAAGGCAGCCCCCTGAAGCTCTGCCAGAATTTTTTCTGAGACCCCTGCACTCATCTGAAAATAAGGGATTTGCATATCCAAAAGTGTTAATATTCATTTGATCAAGCTTCATTCAAACTCCATGAAATAGGATGCATAGACATCATTATCCACATTTTGTGGGTGGAGAATCAGAATCTTAGGCGTGTGACAGCCCTCAAGGCACAGCTAGCAAGAGATGGGTGCAACTAGAACTCAAGCCTTCTCACTGTTAGTGCTCCCCAGCCTGAGAGGGAAAAAACTGGGCCCAGAAAGAGTGAGGACAGAGTGGGGAGCACCTCACCTGCCTCATAGTGAGCACAATGTTGCCACACAGAATTTCTAAAAATGCCATGTGATGGAGAAAGCTTTAGCCCCTGCCAGGACACCATACGTGAGGAAATTCCTTATGGAAATGTCTCCTATCATTCAGAAAAGGACACTCAGACCAGCAGTCCTAAGAAATGCACAGGTGACAGAAACAGAATGACACATTTAGGCAGTCACTCCTAGCAAATGTCCCATCTACACTTTCAGGAGCTCCCTTCATATCTGCATAGAGCACCTGGGTTAAGCCCATTTTAATTTAGAGAGGTGTCCCTGAAATGAGCTATTTAAATATTTCTTTGCAAAGATCTGCTGAGAATATTGAGATAAATGTAACACATCTTAAACAATAAAACTCCAGTCCAGACACGTGCCACATTGAAAGCTTTAATTCTTTTTTAGACAGAAGTAAGATTTTACTAAAATGACCTTTAAACTGCAAATTTTTTTTATAAAAGCTATAATAATTTAGGGGGGGAGACAAAATATAGCAATTAATTCAAGTCTCTCCAAGAACTATTTCATTTAACATTAATCTTTGGATCGTGGTCTTTTTTTATTGGAGCAGAAAAATCCAAAAGGTTAATTAAATTTCCCAGAGTCAATCCTTTGGAAACCACGTCTGTACCGAAATCACTGAGC